ATAATTAATAAACTATATAACTATATCAGTTGTTGCTTTTGTACTAGTTTATAGACTTTAAGTGTTGATTATAATTAGTCAAATTAAAAATATTATTAAGACAAAATTGTTTATTTATATAATTATATTAGATTATACTGGGAAAATGTTGTAATTACTGAAATACCTACCTAAATTATTAATATAATTAATTTTTCTGATGTGGATACGAGGGGAATTACTGTCGTAAAGTAGCAACGTATCCCGTTCTTCTGCTAAGTTACTTCTAAATAAGTAACGTAGTTACTCTTGCGTTACCCAAAAATAACAATAACGGAGTTACTTAACGTTAGGTACTGAAAAGAAACGCACGTTACGTTACTACCCAACACTGCATATTTATTATTTCAAACCATTATTGAAAAATTTTAATTTTATGTTTTTCATATTATATTATTCATATATATATATTTAAAGAGAAATATATTTAAATATTGTATACCTATAGGTAATAATTAATTGCTGATATTGCTAATAACAGAATACAGTAACGTTGACGTCAGACCTATATATATACGATACACAAAAAATTTGTTTTTAAATTGTAATATTTTACTTAGGTACCCAAGTACCTAACCAACGATAGACAATAGATAACGTTCTTACCTTTAAAATAGTTTGATAATAAATTAATTTCAATTCACTCAAATTAAAAAACTATAACAACACAATAGTACAATACACAACGAGTCAACGAACTGCTTAACGAAAGTTGTTTATGTTGTATACTCGTTTTACGTATTTCATATTTGTAAGACTAAGACAACACAATATGAGGGCGTAGGTACTTACTCTTAAATATTTTATGTAAAGTACCCAACGTTATATTATATGGACTATGGAGTAGTATGGACTATTGAGTATTGAGTATTGACTACAGTATAGAAGGTACATTATAGTACAGTGACGTACTGGCGTGCATATATTATATGGATTGTTTTCTGTATATGGGCCAATTACATTTTTTATGTGGCCAAGCCGCCGAAGGTTATAATTATGACACATATTCAACTCATACTAATTACCATAGTACTAATTTAGACTTAGGAGCCTGTATTAAGATACACCAGTGGCGAATTTGTTCAACATAAAGGGGAGGGAACCATTTGAAATGTCAACACCCTTCCCCAAAGTGTAGGTATTCCTCATTAGGAAATTAGAACATCAGACGTCAAAACACGGGTGGCCACCACTGATTTACACTAGGTACATTATATGATGACTATTGACTCATGTTGAAAATAGTTAAAGATATTTTTTGATATCGACTTCATAAAATGGTTATAGATTTTATGTGGTTTTAAAATTAATACATGATATTATAATATTTTTACATTTTAAAAATCATTAAGAGTTAGATAGGTATTTTGTTTTATTTTAAAGTAAGTACTAAGTACCTACGACCTACCTATATACCTACTTGACTAGGTTAATAATAATTTAAAATTTAAGTTATAGTACGGTATTGCAATTTGCAATTGATCCAATTAGAATATTAGATGATAATTGATAAATACCAATTCTTAACCAAAATTTCATAGGTAGGTTGAATTTATTAATTTTACAGTGTGTTTATTTTGCCTGTAAACAATGCAATAAGTATTCGAAATAATATTCCGATTTTTATCTTCGATATATGTTTGTTGGAAAAGTGAATCTAGTTGGTAATATTGAAAATTACAAGAAGTTTTTAAGAGCGTTTGGTGAAAACTTGAAAATTTTGAATTTTTCGCACAAATATATTTTAACATAATCAATTTTATTTTTTTGGTATTACTAAAAAAATTAACCGTAGATACTTTCATGAAATTTTCACCAATGTACCGAATGTCCGAATGTCTATACATATTAGAATTTTCTATACACCATGTAACAATTTTAAAATATTTTGATTTTTGATACTTTTAGTGCTATTTGTAGGCATAAGAAATTGTAAGCGCTTATCGTTGCCAGTAAAAAATGACAAACTTTAAAAAAATTGTGATTGTTCAACTCTTTTTGGTTGCAAATCGCTGCTGCAAATGCAACTCAAATTCCCTGGTAAGAAATATGAGTACGTCGGGAAATGTGCGACATCATAATAATATCAAGTAGGCAAAGGCAATCCACCTATGGTGGACTGTGGAATGTGGACACTGGACACGCTGATGAACGGCTATATGCTCATTTTGTTGTACATTACGTTACTTTTTCATTCAAAAAGTATAAGGCGTTACAAATAAATTACAAAATCAGTCCAAATATGTAATATAACGACTAATAAGTAGTAACAACTTAATAAGTAATAGTAAAATCAGTGCCGTAACTATATAGGCTACTTGAGGCCTGCGTGCAAAACCAAAATATTGAGGCCCCTTTTTATCTTTTTCAATACACACCTCAAAAACTTTTTTTGCAATTTTTAAAGTCAGCAGACAAAAATTCGGGCTTAAACAAAAAAAAATTTTAATTTAAAATAATCTATAATTTTAAAACAATTTCTCAAGGCTATAACTAACTCAAAAAAGTAAAAATTTTCCAAAATGTAATTTATTGAAAATATTTATATAAATATTTGGTGAAAACTTCAATGGTCTACGGTTATTAGTTTTCGAGTTACACCAAAAAATAAAATTTTTGGTTTTAGGTAAAAAGGACAATTTTTTTTTTTTATTGACGCTTTGTAATATCTAAAACTAAAAATTTCGGTTACGATCTCCAAAAAGTACCAACTAGATTCACTTTTCTAACAGAAAAAATGCTGATCTCGAAATTCCGAATATTTTTACTACCCAATGTGATGACCGACAGAAATGAAAAAAATTATACACATCTTGTAAAATCAATACATTTGTTCGTTCCTCTCAAAATCTAAAAACAGTGATCACGACTCCATGCCCGCCAGTCCATGCTATATAAATTAAATAACATTGGTTTCCTTTCCAAATCAATAATAAATAATTTATATATTTTAATAATTTTATATTAGTTTAATATTAGTCTTTAGATCTTTTGAGGCTCTTCGATATATTATGAGGCCCGAGGCCTGTGTGCGGTGCACACTTTGCACACCCGGTTTTTACGGCATTGAGTAAAATGTTATACATTATAGTGTATTATATCCATTGTATAACAGGATAGGTTTATAGGAATAATATTGATGATGCACATGTTTAATATTTAATAATTATATGTTCTTCATGAACAAAATGTATAATTGTTACACGGGTTATCGGTTGTTGGTGAGGTACAACCGTAAAACATTAAGGTATATTGTATATAGGTATGTATATCATTAATAAATATCAAATTATATTATTATTTATTATTTTAGACTTTGGTTTACTTATAAGTCATAATTGTTTTGAATTCAATTTTATTTTTGAATCTGAACTCTTTTATATTCCACTATTAACATTAATTCCTTTCATTATATTGTTGATTATTATCTAAAAGTCTAAAAGTTTCGGAATCTTTATTAAATTGAATTGACTAAGACTATTTACCGAATATCCTAGGGTCTAGGTTTTGATGTTTTGTCATTCATAAATTATAAATTATAACTTATATTAATAACGTCAAAAATAATGCGTTATTATCCAACAGCCAACACCGAATTATCGATGAAACATTTTCAATTTGGTTAAATTATTGTGGATAAAATATTTTTTGCTTGGTTGAAAAGCTTGAAAATGTAATCAAAGGTTCCTCATAAGTTGATCTGATAGCAGTTCAAAAATATTAAAGATACATAAGCAGAATTTTTTTTTATACACATTTAAAGTTCAAATGTAGACAATATTCATCAAAATATCAAAAATTTACAAATTATTTTGTAGTTTAATTTATGTTGTATACAATTTTTATAGCTAAGGATTGAAAATCTTAAATATTATGAAATATAAGAAGTTCAAGCTGTAATAAAAAAAAATCTAAAAAATATACTAAAAGTTTTTTTGATAGAAATTTCAAGCCCAGTGCCATTGAATATTTGTCTATAAAAATACTTTCTAAGGGAAAAATGATCCTATTCTATAGAATCAACCAAATTTGATAACGTTTTTTTAGCTAATAGAGTACTGAATTCTACAGGCTGCATTGAACTCAGTTTTTCAATATTTTCTCCCAAGTTATATGTCTTCAAAAATAATACAATTTTAAGATTTTTTTCATATATTATTATATACCATTATTTGAAATAACATAAAGAATTGGAATTCAATGCGGCCTGAAGGAAATCTTCTCCTTTCAGATACAAATCCAACTATTTGAAAAGGCCTGAGAATTATTCCTGTGAAGAAATTTCCCCTAACCCCCTAAATAGGTATATGGAAGTAGATTAGTGGAAAGTATCATAATTGAAGTGGCAACTAAAATATAATTTTCAAATCTTATAGAAAAACCGGCACCAACCCTTCTGTTCAAATTTGGATGAAATTAGATATTTAAATTAAGAATAACAATTTTAGTTACCTATTTTGTTGTAATTTAAAAATATTATATGAGAGTACTTGAAACTTTTAAATTCAATTGTTATATTTAATACATACAATGACATTTACAAATGCAATGTTTTCAGCAAAAATTAATTCAACTTTGAACCTGTATTTATTACTAATTGTAAAATAAATTACTTTAAATCCAATGTCATAAAATAAAGGTATTTAGTAATATAGGGTGACAAACTCAGAATCGGTTTTTCTTATACAACAATTTTATATCATTGAATTCAAATTTAACACTTCCATTACAGATTACAGTTACCTACATGGCTACACCACTACACCTAATGCACAGCAAAGCGGTGCTCACTTATTATTGTTGCCCCAATTATTAAATACCGATTTATAATCTTTAAAACATAATATTGTCATAAATTCATAGATTTTAATTAGTTTATTTACTCCACATAGTTTTTATTACAATTAAGTTAAATTATTATTTATCGCTTAAGAATGTATAAGTCTACAAAAACAAAAGTATTATAATAGATTTGAGACATTTCCTTTCAATTGTTCTTGATCCTGAAGATACTTATTTTTAGAACGTTCCAATTCTTTCACCCTGCTTCTTGCATGTTCAAGACGGTGCCAAGCCATTTGGAGGACTTTTTGTGATGCATACCCGCTGTTTTCATATGGCTGTCCAGTAGATACTTGAGTCAAGTAATTAATTTGTTCAGTTAGTTTTGACTCTACATTACCCAAACTCTTTAAGAACTGGTGTGATTGGTTCTCTACTTGTTTCAAACTGGATTTTTCCTTACTAAGTTCCAATAATGCTTGACCAGCGCTTTGTAAACATGTTATTATGTCTTTCTCAATTAATTCCAGAGCTTGAATACGTTCCATTGGTGCAGCCATGATGAAATAAAAAACTAGAAAGATAGAAATAATATAGGCAAGTAAAACAACTAAGGTCATAAACTTACTTTTTGATATTACAACTTCTTTATATATATTCAATATAAAATCAACTATATATTTTAATCTGTCCAATGATTAACTAGTTTATAGTCTAGAATATAAAAGAATTTTAATAAACGATCATCAGTCATCTAAAAAGTTAATGAACCTAACTAATAACTAATAAGTATACGAATAATTAATAATCGAATATTTTTTTATTCTGTTAATCTGTTATATCACAAACAAAAAATATGGGAAATTGGTAAAAGTTTATGTTATCACAACACGCACTATCATAGATAATTATTATCTATACGGACTATAGAATATTGACGAGCTTAGATCTTTTTTTACGACGACATAAATTATTTAGATCCATAAAAATGGCGACAAACTTACAACAATTGATAGATTTTTGAAAAAGTAAAAATTTTAAACCAATATTATGTAAAATGTAAATTGAAAATGAGACTATATTATTCACAGATATAAAGATAACACATATGACACGATCACTTTATAGTTTATATACTGGAAAGCAAAAAAAAAATAAGATTACAAATTATAATTTATAACATAAAATATAAATATTGTCAATGTGAAACAAATTAAAAAGAGAGCTTATATGGAGTGCAATTATTTTTCAACAGCTGTATTCTGATTATTTGTAAAAATAACGTTCAAGTACAAAAAGATACTTAATGATAATAATATTTCTAAGTATTTAGAATAAGTAGGTACTTCACAAAAAGTATTCCAAATATTTTTCGAATACTTTTTTTCCGTAGATTTAGACATCAATAGCAAAAATATTATTTTTTCAACTCTGTGTTTATTAATGAACATTATTATAATCTCGATAATACAACTATCTGGCTATCTATTAGTTATAAATAATATTTAAATTAATATAATTAATAAGTAATAATTGGTAATATATAAGACTATAAGAGTACCTACACCGACTACACCTATACCTATAAGAAAAAAGTAGGTATTGTACTCAGAATACTTGTAAAAAGTATTCAAAATACCGAAGGTATTAAATACTTTAAAAAAAAAAGTATTTAAAAAGTATTCGGAGTTCTACCCAAGTCTACGTTTCATGATTTCACAAAGATAGTTTTGAAATTTTATTTTTCATACAAAATAAAAATGCATATTTTAAGATTTTTTTGGGCAAATTCCTTCAGTTTTAGATTTTTGAACTTTTGAAAACAAATTTAACTCAATTAATAATTATTTTAATTTTTTCTTCATTGACATTTTTATATTAATTAATACAATCAAACACAAATTTAATTTAAATTTTTTTCGTATAATATGCTCACACAGCGACAGCATTTGGGAAATGATAATATTTTGTGAATATTTTAAAATGCTTGAATAATGAATACGTATAGGGCTGAGATTCGAATATTCGATGCACTTTTCATTTTTTTCCAGAGGTTACTTTACGATGCTCGCCTGCTCACAAATCCGTAACATGTACTTTTGCAGAATGAGAATAAGAAAATTTACTATGCATTTTTGATAATTTTTGATTTTAATATAATTTTCTTAATTTTTATGGCATTATAGGGTTTTTAGGGGCTACCCGGCTAGGGCATTATTGGAGTTTATGGGTCCAAAATCCAAACTTCAAATTTTATTTTATAAAAATGTATGTTTTTATATACGATATACCCAGTGCTTGATTTGGAAAAAAACTAGAAGGGGGACTCAGCGGATGTTTGAGGAATGAGCGTTCTACACAAAAATAACTGTCGTATTACCGTGGGGGTAAAGCCCCCCACACCCCCCTTCAGCCACTCATAATCCCCAAAAAATCATTAAATTTACTATACAAAAATATTTTAAAAGTAAAAAACATTTGTTTATTCCTTATTTTTTTTAAAACATTAAATGTAACATAATTAATTAATTATTCTAAACAAAAAACAAACTACTTATTAAATAAGGTTCATAAGTTTTCATATGATCTATCTTCATGTTTAGAAGATCGTTTAGGACAGTTTACTTCATCAGAATTTGTATTACGATTTAAAATAATAAAAATACAATCCATAAAATGAATCTATTATGTATGGCATAACCACAGCTGATATATTCTTACATTTATGTGGGCATAATACAATTTCTTAGCAATTTAACAATCAATTTTTTTTTTCATAGTCGATTCAAATGTTGGTACTTATAAATATTATAGCTATAGGTTATAGGTATATTTTGGGTCATAAAAACTGATGATTCATCAAAAGTTTCCCTCAAAAATTTCACTAATGGTAAATGTTGAGTTCCCAGCGTCCCGTTTCATATAAATAGAAGGGGTACGCTAAAAAAAAATTTTAAAAGAAGGGGGACTCCATCCCCCGCGTCACCACCAAATTAACCACTGGATATACCTAACAGTAAATGGTTTGGTCTTCATTAAATGTTCACTTCGGTATACCTTGAAAGGAACTTAGGAACTCTATTTACAAAAATTTACTGGGGATAACAGAAGATCGTTATATTTAAAAATCTTAAGCTCAGAGACCAGAGTGTACAGTTAAATTAATATACAATCTAAATCTATCAAAATAATTAGAATACCTAATATAAGGAAATAATTATTTTTTCCAGACTAAAAGAATTCCAAGTGGAAGTTTAGCCTAAAGAAATCCTGAAGTTTAGCTTATTTAAAAATTATTTTAATCACTTTTTTATCACTCATATTTTACAATCTTTTTAAAATAATAACAATTTACCTGCTTTATTTTAAGGGCATTTTTTAGGGCTTTATAGGTTATTACATTCCCAGCCCTACTCGTAAGTCATAATACTATAAGAGCACAGCGAGTCACTGTATTTGAGATTCTTGATGTGCGCGTATGTGAGCTGCAGTGAGGAGATCCGTCACATATAAAAAAAAATTACCTATTTCCGCACATTTCCGTTTTTTTGGAGCAAAAATGCAAAACATACCTATACTTTTTCCAACGTACTGACTTGAGTTTTATTCCGATAAACATTTTGAAAACATATAAAAATTTATTTGAGTCAAATTTATCCATTTATACATTGACATTTTTAAAAATACCAGATTTTTTTCTAAATGTCAAGACTTCAAGTGAGGCTTTCTTATTAAGGATAATAAATCAAATGTGGCTGGAAAGATACAAAGTTAAAACAACTAAATAAAATCTCTATTCAAAAATAGTATGGGCGTAAGTCAGGTTAGGTTAGGTAATTAATTTAGGTATAATTTACATTTACAATATTTTGCTGTAAATTATTTCGATTTTTGGCGTTTTATGACACCTGCATGCGAGAGTGTACGTAACGTTAACCCCATTCATTGTGAAAGATTTAAAGTAGACTTCATGTCTTCATAATAAATTAAAATTTGCTTTCAAAATTATTATTGGAGTAAAACTGAAGTCAGTAGGTAAGTGGATTTTTCTGCAAAAAACGTTTATGTGGAATTCCCATAAAATTGTCACAAAACTTCCTATTCGGATTCAATAATACAATATGAACCATGTATATTTAAAAAGGTGCTCTGGTGTACAGTAGGTTAAAAGTGGGTCACTGTATGATGGATGGTATTAAATTTGAATTCAATTATGTAATATCATTGTATAAAAAAAACGATTCTGAGCGGAGACGGTATGTCAGTCTAAGACATATTATATACATATCTATGGTATTAAAAAAAAATTGACCTATAATAAATTCCAAATTAATCACAATATCCATTAGGTACTTATAACTCGTTTTACATCAATAACAAACCGTGATACTATCATAGATATATAATAGTGTACTTTAGAAGTTTCAAGTACCCACGAATAATATTATCCCACCAAAAACATATATGTAAAATGAGAGCCAAGTTCAATACTATAATATATGCCTTGGTTGTTGACTTCAATGACAAAAGAAGTGAGATCTAAATGGGTGCCAAGTTAGGATAATATATTGAAGCCTAAGGTGTGACTTGGCTACTTTTCATATACGAATTATTATTATAAGTACCTACTAAAACAGTAATGGAAGAGTGAAGTTGATTTTCCGAAGAATAAAATAAGAACTCAAAGCTTTAGAACTTGCAAATGCTATAATATATAATTCGTAGCCAAGTCAGACCTTAGGCTTTGTAACGACACACGTTTCGTTATTAAACTGTCTTTTTATTACATAACATTTTAGGTTATCTATCTTATCATTACAAAATGTTATCATATCATTACATCTCTCCCCTGCTTATGAGTGAGAACTGAGATTTTAATTAAACCTATTAACTTAACAAAATACAAAATACAAAATAAATTAGTGACAAATGTAACAAATTATTAACTTATGTCTAATAGTAATGTTTATCAGTTTAAAGTTTAAACAGTGTAATCTTCAAAATGTTTTGGAGTTCTTTTCAGCCTTTCACCTCTCCTTGGTTCTTCAGTAGTGATTTTTTTGAAGTGTGATGCGTTCCTAGTTACTTGTCCTTGGTCATCTCTTCTCCCAGTGATCATGGTTCCCTTGACTTCAATTATCTCCAGAGGTTCTGGGTTGAATGGTGTTGAGTATTTATTTATTTCCTTTTGTTTAACTAGTACTGTGTCTCCAACTTCTAGTTCATGCTCTGTTGCCGCATGTCTTGCGTCACTGTTTGTTGCACTTATGTTTTTATTCCTTGTATCGTTTTGTCTTATTCTTGTGTCTGTTTCCTCATCATCATCATTTGTCTCTATGTTTTTCATTTCTGGTAACCAAGTCCTAAATTTTCCTCTGAACATTAGTGATGCTGGTGTTGCCTTTGTGGTGGTATGTGGTGTTGTTCGATATGACATCAGGAACTCATCAATTGCTTCTTCCCATTTCTTTTGAGAAATTATTGATGTTTTGATTGCTTTACCTAATGTTCTCATGAAGCGCTCCACAGTCCCATTCGCTTGTGGCCAACATGGCATTAC